GTCCCGAGGCCTGGGAAGGTTCCCCGGAAGCGGAAAAGAGTGACGATTCCTCCCCTGGCTGATGTGTGTCGCGACTCGAGGGGGTCTGGGGGCCATGCCTCGGAGCTCAGCGCAGGCAGTCAGATCCACGCGCGCAGCAGCGCGCCGCTCCCACCTGGTGCGCTCTCGAGCCTCAGCGCGGCATGTCGGAGGCCGGGGGCCCACGAGTGCGCCCCACGAGCGCGCCGCCGGAGAGGCCTCTGCTGCGGGCCCACTGCAGTCCCCCGGTCGCTGCGCGCGATGCGGTGGCAGCGGCCTGCGCCCCCGGGTCCGGCCCCCTGTCGCGGCCCTTCGGACGCCGCGCGCCGCAGGTCACTCTTGCCTGAAGGGCCGCTTCTGGCGTGCGGCCGACGCACGCGAAGGCAGCGCGGGATGCGCGGCTGGCAGGTCCGCAAGAGGGCACGCGGAGCACACGCGCGATCCAGCCCCCTCTGCTGCGCCGGGCGCCCCGCCCTCGAGAGGCGCCCCCGCTGGCCACGTCACTCAGGTCAACGGCGATGTATCCCCCCCCCCCCCCGGTGCTCGATAAAAATATCGCCGTCGCCGTTGTGTTTCACGAGGTGCTCTGGTGTCAGTCGCCGCCGTCGTGGTTCGCTGTGCATGACGCTTTGGTCTACATGTAGCCGGGAGGATCCTGCCACCCGCCCGCGCCCCGGGCCCCCAGGGGGGTGGATCTGCCGGGGGCCGCCGGTCTCGACACGCCGCTGGGAAGCCGATCTGGTGATCTGCGCCCGGATCGCTTTCTGCTCACGTGCGCCGCGCGAGCTCGCTTTGCACAACTCTGCACGGGTCTCCAGAACTCTGGCTGGCTCGCTCGCATTCGGCAGGATGAGCCGGCAGGGCGGGCCCTGTTCCGTGACCGAGAGGGCCACTACTACATTCGAGCACTCCCGCGACGGAGGGGGGGGGGCCGAAGAGCCAACCGTCACCGTATTCCGGCGTGTGGATGATCATGATTCCCAGAACCCCTCGAGTAATGAAAAAGTCGTGACGGGAGGTTTTTGAGAGTTATCGGGCTTTGGGGGCCCTTCCGAGCCTCGGGACCGTCAGACAACGACTCAGGATGAAAGACCGGTCCCTGGGAATAGGTCAAAACTTCTGGGGGTCGACGTCATGAACAAAAATCATGACGTCAGGGGTCTGGGAGCGCTTTGCATTTCGACAGGAGCGGCACCGGCTGCCCGCTCCCGGATCACCTTCCGATGGGCGCCGGCCGATGCCCGCCCTGAGGCTCTTGGATCGCAGCCGCCTTCCCCCGACCCCCGATCAGAGCCCCGAATCATCAGGGGTAACTCGGGTCAGGGATAACTCGGGTTCCTTTTTCGGGAATCCAAACCCGAGTTACCCCGGACCCGAGTTACCCCGGATAACTCGGGCGCCCAACCCGACGTCGTGATCTCTTCACAGCGTCGACCCCCAGAGGTCTCAGCCCGTGCCCGGGGAGCGGTAGTCACCCCGAGGTGTCCTCTGACGGGCCCGAGGCCCCGTGGAGCCCGCCAGAGGCCGAAAGTTGCGACGATTTCTGTTCTGACTCGAGGGAGGTGTGGGAAAAAAACACACACAAAACACACACACACCACACACACACACACACACTGTGGAAAAAAAACATACACACACACATTCACACACACACAGTGGGAATGAACAAACAAAACACACACACACACACGTTTTTTGTCCCACAGTGTGTTATGTTTTTTTGTGTGTGTCTGTGTGTGTGTCTGTGTGTGTGTCTGTGTGTGAATGTGTGTGTGTGTGTGTGAATGTGTGTGTGAATATGTGTGTGAATGTGTCTGTGTGTGTGAATGTGTGTGTGTGTGAATGTGTGTGTGTGTCTGTGTGTGTGTCTGTGTGTGAATGTGTGTGTGTGTGTGAATGTGTGTGTGTGTGTCTGTGTGTGAATGTGTGTGTGTGTGTCTGTGTGTGAATGTGTGTGTGAATGTGTGTTTTGTACCGCGGGGTCGGGGACGGCACCGCGCACCGCACGACTGGCGGCCAGCTCCACCGCCCTCCCAGGTCTCCGTCGGGCCTCCGCCGCCCAGTATGGCTCCGGGAGAAAAAACGCGGCCGGGCCGCGGCGGCTGCCGCTCCGCTCGTGCTCGCGAGTCGGACTCCTCGCCTCGGCCCGCGGCTCGCCGCGGGTCCGGATCGTTTCGGGGGCGGCAAAGAGGGGGGTGATGACCAGGGGGGGGGGGTGGGATGACTAGGGGGGGGGGGATGACATACACACACACCATACACACACACTGTGGAACAAAACACACACAGTGGGAATTAACAAACAAAACACACACACACGTTTTTGTCCCACAGTGTGTTATGTGTTTTTTTTTGTGTGTGTGTGTGTGTCTGTGTGTGTGAATGTGTGTGTGTGTGTGTGAATGTGTGTGTGTGTGTGTGAATGTGTGTGTGTGTGTCTGTGTGTGAATGTGTGTGTGTGTGTGTGTGAATGTGTGTGTGTGTGTGAATGTGAATGTGTGTGAATGTGTGTGTGTGTGTGAATGTGTGTTTTGTACCGCGGGGGCGGGGACGGCCGCGCACCGCATGCCTGGCCGCCAGGCTCGACCGCCCTATACAGGTCTCCGTCGGGCCTCCGCCGCCCCAGTATGGCTCCGGGAAAAAAAAAAGCGGCCGGGAGCGGCGCGGATGCCGCGCCGCTCGTGCTCGCGAGTCGGACGCCTCGCCTCGGCCCGCGGCTCGCGGGTGCGGAGCTTCGGGGGCGGCAGAGAGGGGGGGGATGACTAAGGTCTGGGGGAAGGAAGAGAGGGGGGGACAGGGAGGGAGGAGGAGGAGGAGGAGGAGGAGGAGGAGGAGGAGGAGGAGGAAGACGATAAGGGGGGGGGGGGATATGATGGCGGGGGCCATGAGATCGCCTCAGATTTCGTGGCGCCTCGTTTTGTTCCGTCACAAGCCCTGGGCCCCCCCCCCCCCCTGGGCCGATTGCACGTGCCGCCGGCCAGGAGTTGCACCCCCACAGAAGGTCGACTCCTGCGGATGGAGCTGGCCCGCAGAGGGAGGGGTCCAGCCCTCTGGGTGGAGGAGGAGGAGGAGGAGGAGGAGGAGAAGGGGAAGGGGGAGGAGGAGGAGGAGGAGGAGGAGGCCCCCCCTCGGAAGCCCCCCCCCCCCCGCCCTCTCTCGGCCGCTCCCGAGAGCTGTGCCGTCTCCTGCCGAGCCTCGGCGGCTCGTGTGCCGCGCGTCCCCCCCGCGAAGAGAAAAAAAGAGGGGCGCCCCCCACGGCGGCGCGCCGTGGGCACCCGCCTGGTTCTGAGGAGGAGGAGGCCGAGGAGGAGGAGGCCGAGGAGGAGGAGGAGGAAGGAGGAGGAGGAGGAGGAGGAGGAGGAGGAAGGAGGAGGGGAGGAGGAGGAGGAGGAGGAGGAAAGGAATCAGGAGGCCGAGGAGGAGGAGGAGGAGGCGGAGGAGGAGGAGGAGGAGGAGGAAAGGAATCAGGAGGAGGAGGAGGAGGAGGAGGAAAGGAATCAGGAGGAGGAGGAGGAGGAGAGGAAGGAGGAGGAGGAGGAGGCCCCTGCCGCGGCCCCTGCCCCTGCCTCCTGCCCCTGCCTCCCCAGCATATCCATCTCTCCGACTTCTGCTCGCAGCACGTCTTCGGAGGGGCCCGGCCCCCCCGCGCCGCCCTCGCAGGGCCGGTCCCGCTGGACCGACATCGCGCGCTCGTCGTCCCTGCCTCCCCAGCATCCATCTCTCCGATTTCTGCTCGCAGCACGTCTTCGGAGGGGCCCGGCCCCCCCGCGCTGCCCTCGTGGGGCCGGTCCCGCTGGACCGACATCGCGCGCTCGTCGTCGCCGTCCTCGTCGGAAGCCTGGAGCGTATACGTTGCCGGGGGCGGGCGGTTTCTTCAATCCCGGGACTTTTTTGGAGGGTCGGGGACGACGTCGGGGTGGTGTGGTGTAGACTTTTTGTCCCCGTACTCCCAGGGGAGCAACGGAGAATGTATATACACCAGGAGCCCGTATACACCAGGATCCGCTTTCCTGTGCGAGACTCAGTGTGAGGCCAGACAGAGGCGTCGGTGTATAGAGCTCGGCTCCTTACCTCGTGGGCCGCAGGACGCATCCAGGGCCGGCAAGGGCACGGCCGAGGCGGACGCCGAGGCCAAGAAGGCGCTGGGCAAGCGCGTGGCAAAGGCCGAGAAGGACGGGGGCAGCCAACGCCGCGGCCGCCGGGATGCGCGTCTACCTCCCAGAGGGGGGAAGAGTGCCCTGTCCATACGGCCGCACTGGCCTCGTTTTCGCCCTTTTGGGGCGTCCTGGGGGGCCCTCGTCGCCACCGCTGGATTCGCCCCGATTCCCCGGGCCTCTATTGTTTTTTGTGACAGTGAGTTTGCGTATGTTTCTGTCTCGGGTCTCGCGCAGGAGGCGGAGTCCCGCGCGTATGCCGCGCGCCACGCGGTCGTCCAGGCCCTGCAGTCCCAGCTGGACACGGCGCGTGCCCAGTGCCGCGGAGAGCTGGAGGTGCCGGGGCTGTTTACTTGTCCAGTGCGGTTCGGACGTCCAGCATCACAGAGCATACGGTCCGGGCCTCTGGTTCAGCGCGTCGCGCCGCCGGACTTGGCCCACCACGCTTCGGCGCCACACGCGATCCGCGTCTCCATGCCGAGGCGTCCGCGTCCCGAGCTCTTCCTGACCTCCCGCCTCGGGGAAGGGAGCGACGCGCGCTCCACTCGCAGGGCACGGGGCGTCGCCAGGGCCGCCGTGGCGGCGCGCCATCCACAACCCTCTGACCGTGTAGGTCCGAGGATCGGGGGCAGGTCTTGCTTGGGGCGGGGGGCGCTCTCGTCGCCACGAACGGATCCGCTCCCTCCCTTCCCCTCCCTCCCCTCCCCTCCCTCCCTCCCCTCCCTCCCTCCCTCCCTCCCTCCCTCCTCCCTCCTCCCTCCTCTCTCCTCCCAAAGAGAGGACAGGGGGTCGATTCTGGAGGGTGGGTGGGTACCCACACTCCTCGCGTCTACCGGAAGCTCTCCTTCCGGGTTCGGCGTCTTCGGCGCTAGTTCGGGGCCCGTTCGGGTCCGGGGGCGATCGCAGATCGACCCAGGAGGAACGCTGGCTCCGGCGATGGGCTCGGGAGGGCGACGCCACGAAAGATATGAGACGGCGGATGTCTGTGGTGGGGAGTGGCGTTTAGGGATTGGGGCTGCTGCTCTTCCCACATGGACCCCCACCAGAGCCTCCCAGAAGCCCCCAAAGCCACAAGATACCCCCCAAGCAGACACGTACACACATACAAGCGCGTAGCACAAATCACACACATGCGTACACACACACGCACACACACACACACACACACACACGTTGCTCAGCAGCGTGGTGCGTGGTGGCAGCGCGGTACCTGGCGGCGGGGCAGCAACACATTCGCACACACGCACGCACGCACGCACGCACGCACGCACGCACGCACGCACGCACACACACACACACACGAACGAACACACTCCCTCTTTCAATAAAGCCCCAAACCTCCCTCTCTTCCTCCCTTCTGCACGCGGGGCGTTTAGGAGACTGCCTGACTGCACTGCCACAGGCGCTGGCTGGTCGAACCCTGTGTCCAAGATCGGTGAGCACGCCCTCCCTGCCCTGCAGGGATGCACGACCTCTCTGCTGGGCGAGAAGGGCGCATCGGTCCATCCTGGGTCCTGGACAAGTGTAGCCCGGCTCGGTACTTGTGTTAACTTGGCGTCCTCCTCAGGCGGTGGAGGCGATTTTGCAGAAATTGCCAGGAGAGAAGAAGGCGCTGCTCAAGAAGCGCACGTCGGAGGCGGAGGCGGAGGAGAAGGAGTTGCGGCAGAGGCGCCAGGAGAAGTATGCCCAGACAGTGGGGTTGCACAAGTTTGCGATCGAAACGCAGATCGAGAAGGAGCGGCTTGAGGGCACGCTCTACTCGAGTGACCCGAAGCTGTCGGTGCTCACACACGTCCAGGCGAGGGTGCATGAGCTGGCCGAGGAACTGCAGGTGTTGGAGGTCGACGGCGTGAACAACCGAAAGAGTCAGGGCATCCTGATGCACACGCTCCGTGCGCTGGAGGGCCGTGCGGCCAAGGCAGTGAGCCTGCACGTGGACAAGACGCAGATGCCAGAGAAGAGGGATTCCGACAAGGACGACTACGTGCCGAGCGATACCATCCGCAAGAAGCAGGAGACCAAAGCGCTGCCAAAGGCAGCGCCCGCAGTGGACCTGGCCAGGCCCCCTCCCAGGCCCAGGAGCCGCATGCACGGGCGCCCCTGGTCGGGCCTGGAGACGCTTGTGCACTCCCCATGGGCTCGGGAAGGGGGACCGGAGTGCGCCGGTGCCGGTGTGCAGCTGTGGCGGCCCTCCGAGGCCATGATTTGTTTTATGGCGTCGGCCCCCCGAGGTCTCGACGCCTTCCGCGGGGCCGGTTTTTCAGCCCGAGGCGTTTCTTGGACGGTCTCGGGGCCTGGGGAGGGCCCCGGGAGGCCGAGGATGGCGAGGAGCCGCCCGTCGCGATCTCTTCGGGACTCGAGGGGGGTCCGGGCAGGTGTGGCGGGCCCCCCGAGGAGCGGCAGGCCGAGCAGGAGGTGCAGTTCGTGGAGGCCCTGGAGACGGAGGTCAAGAACCTGCGGGCGGACCTGCGGCTGAAGGCCGAGGCGGAGGTGGCGGCGCTGGGGGTCGCCCGGCGAGACGAGGCAGAGTCCCACCGGGAGGCCCTGGAGGAGGCCAGCAGGGCGCTCGCGGAGGCTCGGGAGGGGAAAAGACACGCAGGCACAACGGATCGTCGATCCCCCAGAAAATGTGGGAACATCTAGGGGAAGTGTAGGGGGGGGGGGGAGACCAAAAGAAAACAACAAAGTATGAACAGATGGGAAATCCTGGGACTCGTGTGCATTTACTCGTGTGTCCTGGGGCCCCTGGAGAGGCGCGCGCGTGGGCCGACGGCAGCAGGCGGTGGCTGGGCGCCGTCGTGCCACTCGCGAGGGCCAGCGCCCGCGCCTCCGAGGTGGCCGCGTACCTGCGCGACTGCCCGGCCGAAGGCCGTGGCTCGGGTTAAGTCGGGCCTGTCCCTTTACAGGAGGGATCTGCAAAAACAGTGCAAGACTGCCCGGCCGAAGGCCGTGGCTCGGGTTAAGTGGGGCCTGTCCCTTTACAGGAGGGATCTGCAAAAACAGTGCAAAAATGATTTGGGAATTATTGCTTGATTATTCTTACGCCTTAAGCATCTTGGGCGTCTGTTTTCGTATCTTCAGATTTTTCGCCCCAAATCCCCCTGTTGGGGGACAGGCCCGACCTAAGGCTCGGGGGTCCGTGTCTCGGGCAGCCCGGGGGGTCGAAGTGGGCAGCCAGATTTACGTCGGGCGTGCCCCTCTCCAGGAGGGATTGCAAAAATAAGCAAAACAATAGTCTGGGAACGATTGTTCGATGTTTTGGATCACTTCTCAGTATTTTTGGATTCTGTTTAATGAGGCGTTTCCTCCAGAATCCGCCTGTAGGGGGACATACCCAACCTAAACCTACAACCCCGTGCGAAAAGCAACTGGTGTTTGGTGAGCCCCCCGGCCCCCCATTTCATTGTTGACCGCGTGAAAGGCGAAGTTCGAAAAAAAAATCGGCACCGCATTGAACATTGAAGTTGTGCGGGTGGGGGGTGGGGAGGTGCGTAGAAAAACACTACGCAGTTGCTTTTTTACACGGGGGGGCAGATTTACGTCGGGCGTGTCCCTCTACAGGAGGGAGATCGACAAATAATAAAAAAATAGTATGGGAACGACTTGTCGTATTTTGACCACTACTGAGTATTATGTTTAATGAATTGTTTCCTCCAAAATCCGCCTATAGGGGGTCATGCCCAACCTAAACCTAGACCCCCTCGAGTGATGAAATAATCACGACGGGAAGTTTTTCGCTGTTTTCGGCCACTGGGAGCCCTTTCCTGGGCTCGGGACCGTCAGAAAACGACTCGGGATGAAAAAACGGTCCCGGGGAATGGGTCGAAACCTTTGGGGGTCGACGTCATAAAACACATCATGACGCCGGGGGTCTGGGTACGAGGATCAATCGCGTTTCTGGACCGTCTTGGGCAGCACGCGCTGTCGGTATCGCTGCGGGTGCGGTGCTGTCCGTTTGAGACGGAGGCCGCCTGGCCGGCGGCGGCCGCTCTGGGGGCCTGGACGCAGCTTGCCGCTGAGCTTCGTGCCCGCTCTTTTTGGGCCGAGCCTCGCCGTGCCGAGGGCAGGGTGGGCCGCGGGGGGGGGGGGGTAGCGCGGGAGCGCACGAAGCGCTCCAGAGGTCCCGGCCGGGAGTCCACCTGCAGTCCTGCGCAGGTGCGCGAGAATGTACAGCGCGTCGTGCGCGAGGTGGGGTGGCCCTTAAGGCCGCGCGAGGGCCGTGGGTGGGCGGCGGCCCCGGGCCCAGGCGGCGTGGTGGCACAGCCCGCCAGTGGCTGCGGGGGTGAGTTTCGGAGGGCGCGTGGTGGGGCGGCGACGAGGGCTGGGGTGGGGGGGGCAGCGAGGCCTGCCGAACAGTTGCCCTTCTGGGCCCCTAGAGGGGCCCTTCAGGGCCCAGAGAGGGGCCTTTAAGGGCCACCTGTCCTCACCCCCCCGCATTGATCGCCCCCTCATGCATTCGCGCCCCGGAGTTGCGCTTGTCGGTGGTCAAGTGGCCACCTGCGTATTTCAGAAGAGACTACCAGACGAGCTGCCGTGAGAAGGGACGCGTGGGAGCAGTGCAGCCTCGGGCTGGTGGGATTTTTTGGGGACCCTGTCATCGCGTGGGCGCTCGGATTAGCCGCGCTCACGCTCGAGGCCACGAGCTGCGCGCGCGGCTGAAGACCGCCGTCGTCCGCCTGGAGGACGCGCGGGACTTCCTGTCGGCCGTCAATCCGGCAGACTCCCCGCGCGACGCCGGCTTTGACCAGGCGCCGCCATGGAGCAGAGTCAGACAGGGCTAGGACGAGGACAACTCCGTTCCAGGGCGTTCCAGAACGCTCCCAGAGCGTTCCGGACCGTTCTGAGGAGGCTACGGCGCCCGAGACATCCTCCAGAGCCGCCAGATCTCAGAGAGTTCCGACTTATCCTCGCCCGATGCTATCTTCGTCCAGGCTTCGTCTTACTGAAGGGTCCCGAGGGGATTGGGTCCTGAGTTCTGCTCGCCGTCGTCGGCCTCTCGAGGGCCTCCCTGGGCCCCGTGACCTATTCGCAACGACCCAGCAGATGGCCCTCGTGGGAGGCCTCGGTCGGACGGGCCGCGGGCCGGGGCATGCCGAGACCCATACATCTGCAAGGGCTCCCCCGAGGGCGCGAAGTTATTCGCGCTTCGCGCTTCGCGGTCCTCGTTCCTTCTCCCCCTCCTCCTCGTCCTCCTCTTCTCCCCCTTGGGGGGCGGCGCGAGAGCGCGAAGTTATTCGCGCTTCGCGCTTCGCGCAGCGCGAAGCGCGAAGTTGGGAGCCCTAGCATATATCTGCAGCGTCCCCGAGTGCTCCCAGAGCGCTCTGGAGCGCTGTTCGAACGGCCGCGGGGCCCGATGCACCTCCGGACTCCCTGGATTGCGGAGATCCCGGATTCCCAGACCCCCTCGAGTAATGAACAAAAACATGACGGGAGGTTTTGTGCCATTTTCAGCCTCTGGGGATCCTTGCCGGGCCTCATGACCGTCAACAAAACGACTGAGGATGAGAAACCGGTCCTGGGGAATGGGTCGAGACCTCGGGGGGGCGACGTAATGAACAAATCCTGACGTCGAGGGTCTGGGCTTCTCCCGGTGCGAGCAAGTCCAGGTCTTCGCTTCGCCCTACTTTGGCGGAGGCCCGCCCGCTTCCCGCGGGAAGCCCGCGTGCCTCGCACACATCAGCAGGTAGCGTGCCGCATCAAGCAGGCCTTCGCCTCGCTGGAGACGTGCCGCGCCGAGAACCCAGACCCGCAGAAGCCGAAGAGGCGCAAGAAGAGGGTCCCCTCGAAGGAGGTCGACGCCGTCGCCACCGACGCCAGCGTCGAAGGCCCGCGGCCTGAGCAATGGGTCCCATCCCATCGGTCCTTTACGATGCACCCATTCCGGCCGGCACGATCCGAGTCGATCCTGACATTCCCACGGTCCCATTTTTCGTGTATGTATATATATATATATATATATATATATATACATATATATATATATGCAAGACTACATTGGCGCTTCGCGCCATGCGTCTTGTTCCGGACACTTCCCTTGCAAAACAATAAATCATCGCGTGCTTCAGCAGGGGGGACCTCGAGGCCTGGACGGGCGACCGGCTCATTTTTCTGATATCCCTGGTGCCTGCTGGCACCGCGTTCGGCCGATGCGCTTGCACGCTTGTGCGTAGGAGCGGGGAAGGAATGATGAGTTTTTGACGCGCGAAGGTCCTTTGAGGAAGTAGCGAGCGTTCCCATGACACGCCGAAGAAGTCGCAGTAGCTCCGAACACATCGATTTTCGGTCGCTTCCTGAATGCCTGGAGGGCCCCAGGCACTCAGGAAATCTTCGATCGTTGAATCTAAATGTTTTTCCTAACCATCCTGTGGTGTTGGGTCCTCGTTTTGAAGAGACAGCGCCCCGCGGCCCTCACTCACTCACTCGTCCTCCCCCTCCTCCCTCCTCCCCTTCCGCGTCAGCCACACCCACTTCGGCACACACCCCTCACACGTTCCGTGGCCCCATAAGTAGTTCCACCGAGGGCTCCAGTGGCTGCGTTCGCATGGCGGCACCGCGCCCACTTCGGCATACCCCTCACACGTTTCGTGGCCCCATAGGGAGCTCCACCGAGGGCCCCAGTGGCTGCGTTCGCATGGCGGCACCGCACCCATGTCGGCACACCCCTCACACGCTTCGTGGCCCCATAGGGAGCTCCACCGAAGGCCCCAATGACTGCGTTCGCATGGCGCCACCGCACCCATTTCGGCACACCCCTTACACGTTTCGTGGCCCCATAGGGAGTCCCACCGAAGGCCCCAATGGCTGCGTTCGCATGGCGGCACCGCGCCCATTTCGGCACACCCTTCATACGTTTCGTGGCCCCATGGGGAGCTCCACCGAGGGCTTCAGTGGCTGCGTTCGCATGGCGGCACTGCGCCCATTTCGGCACACCCCTCACACGCTTCGTGGCCCCATAGGGAGCCCCACCGAAGGCCCCAATGGCTGCGTTCGCATGGCGGCACCGCACCCGCACACCCCTCACACGCTTCGTGGCCCCATAGGGAGCTCCACCGAGGGCCCCAGTGGCTGCGTTCGCATGGCGGCACCGCGCCCATTTCGGCACACCTCTCACACGCTTCGTGGCCCCATAGGGAGCTCCACCGAGGGCCCCAGTGGCTGCGTTCGTATGGCGGCACCACACCCATGTCGGCACACTCCTCATACGTTTCGTGGCCCCACAGGAAGCTCGACCGAAGGCCCCAATGGCTGCGTTCGGATGGCGGCACCGCACCCATTTCGGCACACCTCTCATAGGTTTCGTGGCCCTTGAGGGAACTCCACCGACGGCCCCCGTGGCTGCGTTCGCATGGCGGCACCGTACCCATTTCGGCACACCCCTCACACGTTTCGTGGCCCCATAGGGAGCCCCACCGAGGGCCCCAATGACTGCGTTCACATGGCGGCACCGCGCCCATTTCGGCACACCCCTTCACCCGGTTCGTGGCCCCATAGGGAGCGCCACCGAAGGCCCCAGTGGCTGCGTTCGCATGGCGCCACCGCACCCATTTCGGCACACCCCTCTCACGCTTCGTTTCCTCACAGGGAGCTCCACCGAGGGCTCCAATGGCTGCGTTCGCATGGCGGCACCGCGCCCATCTCGGCACACCCCTCACACGCTTCGTGGCCCCATAGGGAGCCCCACCGAGGGCTCCAGTGGCTGCGTTCGCATGGCGGCACCGCGCCCATTTCGGCACACCCCTCACGCGTTTCGCGGCCCCATAGGGAGCTCCACCGAGGGCCCCAGTGGCTGCGTCCGCATGGCGGCTGCGCGCCCATTTTGGCACACCCTCACACGCTTCGTGGCCCCATAGGGAGCTCCACCGAAGGCCCCAGTGGCTGCGTTCGCATGGCGGCACCGCGCCAATTTCGGCACACCCCTCACACGCTTCGTGGCTCCATAGGGAGCTCCACCGAGGGCCCCAGTGGCTGCGTTCGCATGGCGGCACCGCACCCATTTCGGCGCACCTCTCACACGTTTCGTGGCCCTTTAGGGAGTTCCCTCTCATTCGTTCAACCTGCTTTGCGGTACTCGTAACTGCAAATGGTTGGGTCCATCGCCAGGATCATTCGTGTCTTTCTCGACCGAGGAACTTAAACGTCGAGCTTCAAACGTGGAGCCAAGATCGTCGGGTCAGCTCGATGTATTTCGTAGTAGAACGCCGTCTGGGCGTTTGTGGTGTTTTTTTGGGTCGTCCTGGAGCCCTCTTGGGCCGTCCTGGGGGCTTATTGGGCCGTCTTGGGGGTATCCCATAGCTTTCGGGGGTCTCTCTTGGGAGGCATGTTGGTCTTCTTGTGGGCAGTCTCGGGGCTCTCTGGGGCAGTCTTGGGGCCCTCTTGTGCCGTCTTCAAACCCTTTGGGGGGCCTTTTGGGCCGTCTTGGGGCGACATCGTGGGCCCATCGGGTCATCTTGGACGATGGAAGACCCAAAAAGCGGAGATGCTAAAGAGGCACACACACACATATATATATATATATATATATATATATATATATATGTATATATGTGTGTGTGTGTTATGGAGGGAATGGGGTGATGTTGATTTCGGGGCTTTTTTAACGGCCTCTTGCGGCGTCTTGGGGGCCTCTTGGGCCGTCTTCAGACCATCGAGGTTCCTCTTGGAGCGTTCTTGTGCTGTCTTGGGTCTCTCTTGCTCCTCTCCGACGACCCCTCTGATCGCCTTGAGTCGGCTCGCAAAGCCCGGCAAGGCGCCCTGGGAGGCCCGGAAGGTCCACCGCACAATTCCACGGCTGTCCATGGGGCCGCCGAGACGTCCGAAAGGGCGTCCGGAGCGTCCATGGGGGGGGAGGTCTGGTTCAGGGTGGGGGGGGGGGTCCGGGTTTTAGAAATATAAGAATATGATGTTTTTTTCCTTGCCGAAGATGAGGGACACCCCCCCGGGCGGGCGTCACCGTATTCGCCCCCCCCCCCCGATGAGCTCTGGACGACATTGAGCTCTGGAAGACATCCGAACAGCTCCGAGAATGCCCGAAATTACGGTCAAACCGGTCTGACTGGCCCAAGAGGGCTTCCGAGACGCTCAGAGATCGCCCCAAGATCCTCCAGTTGGTCCCACGACGGCCCAAGAGGCTTCCAAGAGGCATCCCCAGAGGGCCCCCAGAGGGCCCCCATTGGCAAACACCAGTGATTTGTTCGACAGGTTTTTGAAGGTTTTTCAAGTTCCCGCGTGTGCCTTTCCCGACGCTCGAAGACGGCCACATGGGGCCTCCAAGATCGCCCCCAGACGGCACAAAAAGGCTCCCAAGACAGCCCCACGACAGCCCAAGAAGGCCACAAACGGTCCAAGAGGCCTCCAAGACGGCCCAAGACACCCTCAAGACGGCTCAAAGAATTGCTACGAAGGGGGATCTGACCCGACGTTTCGGCCACTCGGCCCCAAGATGCCCCCAGGAGCCCGAAGCGACCCCCAGGAAGCCCCCAAGAGGCTCCAAGAAGCCCCCAAAAGGCCGCGAATAGCCCCCCATGAGGCCTCAAGTCGGTGCCCAACAGGCTCACAACCGACTCAAATCCGTGGGTTCGCGGCCCCCTGCCGACAGACGCACAGAACAAGTACACGCAGCCCTTGATTAAACCCGCACGCGGCGTTGGGTCCAGCAGAGCGTTCAGTGCCATAGAGAATCTGGAAGCTTCAGTTATATGTTGGTCTGTTGTGTTGCCTGAATTGAACATCTGGGCTTGGACGCCATCTCATGGGCGAGCACGCGGCGCCGTATCCAGCATAATGTACAAGCACGTCGGCACCCATACGGGCGATTTCTTCGTGATATTTTCTTTGGTTGTGTCCCTTAGTTTGCCTCGATTGTGCAATATCGGAGGCCACCTTGCGTCGCCTTGAAGGCCCCACGGGGCACCTGACAAGGCCCTCAACGCCAGGGCTCCCGCAAACCCAAAGACGTCAGGAGCTCTGAACGTCAAGGCTCCCAGTACCAGTAACGACGTACACACCTCTGACGTTCCCGGCGTCCATTGATGTTCCGTGGGCTTTGGCGCCAGGGTTCCGCTGATATTCCGCCTCGCCATGCCGTGGCGGGCGACTTCCACCGGGGGGCTCTGCGCCCCTGGACATGCTGATTCCCTACGAAGCCCCACGCCCACGACGGCCTCTCGATGCTGGCCTGCCCGCAGAGCGCCAGACGTTCCCGAGTCCAGGCCCCCAAAGAAAAAACGGCCGTCTACTGGACCAAAAATTGGTTCGGCCCGTTGGGTGGTGGTTCGCTTCCGGACATGCTCACCCCTCATGAAAACCCACGCCCACGTTGGCCCCGCGACCGGCAGCGCGGCCACAAGTACAACCACCAGCGCGACCACCAGCACGACCGCCCACCAGCGCCATCCCCAGCACGACAGCCACCATGACGAGCAGCGCGGCCACCGACACACCCGCCGGCACGATGTCCAACGCGAACGCCAACACGACCACGAGCACGACCGCGGATACAATTGTCCTCCGCGATCGGTCCTGTAACAACAGCACCCCGATTTTCCCGAAACCGTCAATCTCGCGACGCGCATCATATCGACACCCCTATATCCATGAAGTTCACGAGCGCACCCCGCTCTGTCGTCCACATGGCGCGGCGGGATGCCAGATCTGCGCTCCTGCGCTAAGGATGAGGATGAGGGGCAAGATGTTTGGGCGAAGCGAAGCGAGCCATCAATATCTTGTGTATGTATGTATTAAACATATAGGTGTGTAGGTATATATATATATATAGGTATATATGTTTGTTATGTATGTATGTATGTATGTATGTATGTATGTATGT